CCCCCCAGCCCTGCTGATGCCCCTCACTCCCAACCCACAGCCCCCAGACTCTCCCCAGTCCCACAGCATATCCCAGCTGCCCCATCCCTGCAAGGACAGGCACTGGCCCCCGTGTCACCGGCCTGGCCATGCAGCTCCCTGCTGCCCCCCCAAAGACCTCCCCACCACTCCCTTTCCCCACCTCACTGCAGCCCCAGCATCTGGACAGCTTCCCCCAACACCAGCAAGCACCCCCCGCACCTCTCCCCAACACTCATTCCCTCTACATACCTACTTACCCCTGGACAGTTCCCAAGCCCTGGCTCTCCAACAACCACCCTCCACAGATTTGCCTGCATCCAACTGCCCTGGCTGCTCCCACTACCCTGCCTGGCTGCATGCTGTCCACATATGATGCCCCCTACCGCCAATCACTCTACGCCACCATTTTGCCCAGCCCCAAGCAACTCCTTGCTAGGGCAAGCTAGGAAATGCCAGGAAAAACTTTGATGCTAAAACAGAGCAAAATCCTGGATATTTGTTGATATTTTAAAAAACCACCCTGACTGAGACTGGAGGACCGAAAAAGAGGACGTGTCCAGGAAAGCCGGGCACCAGGGCACACAAAAAATCAAGGATCTGGCTGAATCCCTCCTTCACAAACCCTAAGCACAGCATCAAGACCTTCAAATTTCACAAGTTAAAAAAAAAAGAAAAAAAGAAAAAGGTTTTGTTACAAGGCACAAAAATCAGTAACCATTTTTTCCGTTTTTTTTTTTAAACAGAAGAAAGGGGAAAGGGTGATACTTTTTAAAAATTTTTAACTCTTACAGAAAGATTTTTGAAGGCAGTCATGGACTTCTGAATATCTGGTCGATCTGGATGATAATCCTAAAGAGAAAAAAAAAGTAACCTAATTTTTGATAATGATAATTGTACCTTTTAGAGTCATGTTAGCTTCACTACAGACAAGGCTGTAACACTCTTGTAACCAACCTTTCTGCCCTTTTTTACTGCCTACTTCCTTTAGTATTGTACACTTGCCTTCTTGTAGCGAGAATAAGCAGTCTCTCCAAATGGCTAGGGACAGAAGTTACATACAAACCAGTATAAGTGATCAGAAACCAGTTCAAATCTGTAACGCAACAGAAGTTCAGTGCACATAAACTGCTTTCAAAATGGCCAAAACCAGTTTCAAATAATCCTGGATGGATGCAGTATCAGGTTTAACTGATTTAGATGAAATCAGTTTATTGAAGTTCTGTCCCAGACCCTCCAGATTCAAGTCAACTCACAGTCCCCCAGCATGCTTTGCACCTCCCCACAAAGCCCCCCTCACAGGGTAGGTGGGCTAGCCTTGGTCCAAGCCATCTGCTCCAGCCAAGCAGGGAGGCATGCTCTAGCACTCCCTCCCCTCCCCTGGCTTCTGACTTGAACATCTGCACTTATGTGGCTGCATTTCCAGAATCAAAAGCAAATGTCTGTTCACCTGCGTATCAATTCAAGATATGCGGCTTAGACTAACCTGCAAGGATTGAATCAATTCAGCCTTGGGCTTGTTGACAGCCTGTACTTAGCAATGACGTTATACTACTGCTATTCTTTCATGGTTCCACAGAAAAGGATCTGGAAAATTAAGTTTGACCCTGTACTCAGCAGATTATTCCCAGCTTAAGTTCCTACCATTACACAACTTCTAAAAGGTTAGTATGGATCTACTGCTGCTGCCCTTTCCTGTAATTTCACCATTCAGCTACATGCTTTTTTCGCCAAATATGTTAAGTGAGACACATTTGCAGCTGACTCAAAGATGTGATGTACCAATCCCACAAAAAGTCTAACTTTTAAAATCAAATTCAGGTTTAGTCACTGAAATGCACTACCATGTTGGAACATACCCAGTGCTCCTTATTGGACATAATGCAAGAAAGGCCCAGTCTTTTAAAGAAATAATACTGAAATGGCCTCTCAGATGAAAAAAAATATCCTTTCTACAAAAATAAAGCAGAGATTTCAGGAAACCAGCTCAAGAGACAATCCATCTAAAAAGCCTAAATAATAAATTAATATCCCTGGATGGATTTTGTTTATAAGCTTTCTGAGAATTTACTATGTTGTTACAATTCTACTGAGATGAATTTTAAGCCTACTATATCTTTTAAGATAAAATGAATATAATTTGGGGCCCATCATGTTTGACATGTTCCTTTAAAATAATTGCTGTCAAATCATCATTAAGCTGGAACATAAATGCTGATAAGATATACCTCCATGTGCCTTTCAAGTTCTTTGAGTAACGTGGGGTATTTATCCAGACGCATAAAAGGTTTGCTGAGGCCTGTGGTCAAAACAAGGATCCCAGGGCTGTTGGCACCTTTCATCTCCATGAATTCCCCTAGTTCTTCACTGCACATGCAAAAAAAAAAAAAAAAAAAGAGTTAACAAATTAGGAATGAAGAGAACAGAAGAGAAATACATTATTCTAATTATTCTAATCCTTCAGCTCAAGTAAGCTTTTGCCCAAGGCAACAGATAATCAAAAAGCAATCCAGATCTTAACTGCTGAATGCTGATGGCATTTTCCAAATTGTGTACAACTAAAAGACAAGGGCTCTGACTTCAAGGAGTTTACAGCCTTAGGCCCACCCTTAACTCCAAGAGCAGTGGCTCTCATATAAGACTACCTGCATGAACAGGGGTTACCTAGTCCAGGTCCAATTAGCTTCTGTTTGTTATTCTGGTAAATGCTACTTGGTTTAAGTAAAGGTTATAGATTAAGGTTATTAGGACTAATTCAGAAAACACTATGCAGTTGGTTAAATCAGTCTTTACTAAGGCAAGCCACTCCGTTTTCAAATTCTCACCGAGTATAAACTAAGCAACTGCCTCATGCTTTGCCCTTTTGTAAGTCAAATAAAAAATGATCATACATTAAGAAATTCATATTTCTTTAAAAAAGAAATGAAAAATGTGTGAAAACTATAATACACCAGGGGGCGGGGGGGAGGACATCATATTTTTAAGAGCATTTGATACTTAGTGAATTTATAGCAAAGTTTGCAACAATCCAGAACATTATACAATTCCTAATACTTGTATATATTTTTGCTGAAAAGCAAGTGAATGAACAAAAGCCATAGGATAGCACCATTAATATCTGCTTTCTCAAACAATCGAGGTGTGTCTCAAACTCCTCACAATGAGTATTTCAGAAAATTAGTATAGGTCGAGGACATTATTTATTTTAACAATACTTAACTGACATAGGAACACAAAGTGAAATTAGTTTTCCCTAAGATGCATGTTCAGAACCATTTGTTGATGAAACCTGCACCCCAGAATATACACTATTCTGAGCAGGCAACTTTATGTACTAGAAGACATATGTATGCAATGTAATTCTCGCATATTATCAACATCATCCCAAAAAGTTGCAGATGGGTTATTCATTTTGTCATCCAATTTAAACCACTTTTTTCAGAGAACAAGATTAATTATACACTTCTAATATTCTCATTTGCATTTGATTATATACACACTCAAAATCCTTGCTTCCAACTAGTTAAACAAAAGCTTATCCCCACAGGTCACTCTTCAACACAATTCCAAATGATCTGGAAAATGCAGTAAATAATGAGGAAGAGAAATCTGCAGATGATACCAAATTATTATGGGCAGTCCAACCCAAAGCTGATGGTGAAAAGTTACAGAAGGATGGCACAAAACTGAGTGGATAATGTAGTAAACGAATAAATTTAGCTTAAGCAAAGTGCAGAGCAATGCACGTTAGAAGGAATAAGCCTAACTGTAGACATTTAAAACCACAGGCGACTCGTGGGGGGATACGGGGGGAGGGGGGGTGGCACCATGTGCACACCCTGAGATTTGCCACTGCTGCCAGCTTCTGCGAGTGGTTGCCATTTGCCACCCCACCAACACTGCTATCCACAGATTGTGCCCCCCTCCCCCCACCCTAGTCGTGGGAGGCACGAGTCATTCATGCTTAGACCATGTACAAAATTTCGACCACTAGAAATGATTCCAGGAAAGGGAGCAATACAAAATGTTCAGTGTACAACTGCCTCTCTTCCCATGCTTTTCATGCCTTCCCCAGACTGGGATGATCCTGGTCTGAGGAAAGTGCACAGACCAGCAGGGCAAAGACCCCTGCTGGGCTCCCATGCTGGCGATTCTGGTACAAGAAGCAGACAGGGGAGCCTGCAGGGTTTCTCCCTCCACTGGGGTCTGGGGCACTGGGAGCCAGGCAGGCAGAGCAGCAGGATAAATAAGCATACACCACTGCACGACAAGTGGAGAGGTGCTTTGGCTTAGTGCCCCACAGAAAGCCCCTAAGCCCAGTTCTCAGAGTCTGCCAGCTTCCTTGCAACCCATTCCACTCAGCTGGACTGCAACTTAAAAGAAGCAACCAGGAAGCGGGCTTCACCTCACTGGTCTATGGGAAGGGCAAAAGCAGCAGTCCCTTGCTTCTTGTCCTGACTGGGATGACCCTGGCCTCTGGAAGGCATGGGAGCCTTTCTTCCCGCTCCATTCCTAGCTCCCAGGAAGAGTTAAGCCAGGGGACAGTATGCAGATGTTCAGTCTCCTGGGAGTGATTTCTCTCTCATTATTACTAGGGGTTTTTTTCCCCCTACAGCACACATTTTTGCACCAGAAAAAACAACTCGAACATCTGCACACTTTTGGTTTCTACCAGGAGAACGGTGATTCTTTGTTTCAGAAAACAAAACAGAAAGCATCATGCCATTCTGTAAACTCTTCACATGCCCATAACCTGAATACTGTACACCAGAGGTGTCAAATTCAACCAGCTCCCCCAAACCAGCACTCCTCATAGGTCAGATCCAGACCACAGGATTCCTTAGGAGTCAAATATGGACTGCAGGAAGCCTCATATGCAGCAGAATTCAGACCTGACAGTGGCAGGGTAAGCAGCAGCAGCTAACAGCCAGTGCTCACCCCCCTGCACATCTGAATTTGCCAGTGCATCCCACACCTGAATTCCCAACCCCTCCCAGAACCCTGCAACCAGGTCAAACAGCTCCACAGGCCAAATCTGACATCCCTACTATAAACCATTCCAGTCACTCCATATCACGAGAGATATAGAGGAAACAGAAAAGGTAGAAAGAATGGCAACAAAGGTGAACAAAGTTATAGAACCGTATCCCTAAGACGAAATACCAAAAAGACTAAAACTCTTCAGCCTGAGAAAGGGATGTTGAGGGAGGGATTGGGGGTGGGGGGGAGGAATAAAGGGAAGAAAGATCAAGTCATGAGTGGTTCAGAAAAAAGGAGAAAAGAAACTATTGTATTTATATTATGATAAAGATATATGATACTTCCCTTTTTTCATTTTAAATGTGCTACTTGATTATTATATTGGGTGCCCTTTCATGCTGGGGCACTTCTTATGTCACTGGAAGTTATTTTGGGTTTTGGGAGGGGGTTTAATTAACAACAGCTCATTTTGAACCAATTCCCACAGGATGCTGTATAGGCTAACAGCGTTACCAAGGTTAAGAATGGAACAGACAAATAAGGATGTGTTTAGGAACCAAATAGTTAGGGATGTAACCATAGGTTAAGGACATCCCTAAACCTATGACTGCTGGGAAAAGTATGACAGGAAACAGACTGGTCTACCATACCCCATTTCTTATATTCTTCCTTTAAAGCTGTGACTTATTTGGGGTACCACGAGCAGCTTCTGAGAGTACAACAGGGTGCCACACAACATTAGCACTATTAGGTGTGCAAACACCTATACATCATCCACAAAATAAACCCAGAAATATCAAATCAAAATCCAGAGCATCCACAGTATTCTGAATTGTTTTGGAGACAGACAGACAGACACTTTTATCTATAACTGAACATTTTAAAGGAACAGAAATCCCTAACTGCACTCTCACAGTACTTCATCAGATCTGACTCAAATTTACAAGAACTTGGCCTAACTTTGGTTAGCAAGTGATATTTACTTGTTTCTGGCAGCACTTTAGGGCTATGGACAGAAATCACAAGTAAACTGGTATGAAGTGATCAGAAACCAGTTCATACCTGTAACAGAACAGAAGTTCAGTGCACATAAACTGCTTTCAAAATGACTGAAGATAGTTTAAGATAAACCCGGATGGATGTAGCATCAGACTTAACTGATTTAAATTAAATCAGTTTACTGAACTTCTGTCTCAGAGTCCACCCAGATTCAAGTTTGAACTCAAAGTCCCCCAGTATCCCAGGATGCTTTGCACCTCCCTCCTCCCTCAGAGTAGGCAGGTTAACCTTGCCCTAAGCTGTCTGCTCCAGCCAAGCAGAGAGGCATGCTTTAGCACCCCCCAGCCTCTGGCCTGGGCTGTATGTGGCTGCATTTGCAGAATCAAAAAGTTCACTTGCTTATCAGTTCAGTCTAGGCAGCTTAGACTAACCTGCAAAAATTGAATCGATTCAGCTTCAGGCATTGTGACTGCCTGTACTTAGTCAAGATGTGCCATTTTAAATCACAGTCATGCTCAATTCCTTGCAACAAGGATCTCTGACAGCAAGACTCAGCTCAATTGTCAAAAACTGGCCTTGTAATATAAAATTATCATAACTGGTCAGGAAGAGGCCAGTCTCTCTCTATCTGGCATTATTTATTTTCTTGCTTAAGAAGTCCAGAGCATAAACACCTCACAAGAGGACCTACGCTTCTATACATGCCTGTGACACATACACCCTCACTTGTGGCACTGCATAATTTTTTCAATTTTTCCTTTAGCAAGTATCAGGAAAACTAACACAACCTATTTGCCTCTTTCTTCCCAGTTCTTGCTCTCCTCTGCCCACACTGTCCAACATCTCTCCCTTATGAACCGCTTCTTTTCAAACCACATCCTTCTTGCAACATTATCCAAATTAATATTTAGATTGCCCATCTTTTCTCTTCCAAAAACCCACGTGTTCAATGATGCATTCCAGCTATGAAGATCTGTTTTGTGTTGCTCTTTATAGTACTAACTTGTTCCTTTACACTGTAAGATACAAAAGTCTTAAACTTTAATCCATTCAGCATATTACAGGCTCCACAGGCTGTTGTTTACATGTAGGGGAAAAGTATTTGCTGAGCCATCCTCTAGCACAATGCCTCTTACTTAGGAAGTCCTCCTACTACACAGCAATCATGATCACTAAAATCCCCCTTTCATCTTTACACTCCAACACAAAACTTGTAGTCAGGCTGACCAAACATTTGGAATAAAATACTACTGTTCTGATTGTTAATGATTGGTATTATGTAGCTGGCTGGCCATTTTTGAAGGAAGAACCCAATATGAGCTAGGACCTTACAAAAACTAACTCAAATACAGGCACATACCATCTTTAGTTTTCTTCACAACTTACCT